AAAATTTTATATTTAAATTTTCAATTGAGTGGAGAAGAATTAAAAAAAGAAAAGATTATATTCTCTTTTATAATTCATTATCATATATATATAAATAATAATAATAATAATATCTCTTCATTATGATTTTTTAAAGATTTGGTTTATATTTTTTGTGTTTGAACTTGCTTTGGCCAATCCACAAGTCCAAATTCGCCTCCACTAATAAATCTCTTGTTATAATATGTTTAGTTTGAAAAAGATGAAAAAGAAAAGATGTGATTGATAAATTTTTTAATCATTAAACTATAATTTTTTTAAATATTACAATATAATTGATAAAAAAATACATCTTTTTTCTTTCTTTTTTTTTTTCTCAAATTAAGCATATTATTAACTTTAAAAATAATAATTATGAAGAAGATGATAACAACAAACTTTTATTAATTGCAGAACACACCAAGGCTATTGCAATAACCACAACACGGTCCCAAAACATGGATGACATCCCATGCTTAACACTTGAAGAAACACAAACACAAACACACAAACCCAACAACCATAAAAACACATAAGGAGAGAAACCATTCCCCCCCGCCACTGCCCCAACAGAAACTTGACACTTAAACAACAAAGCACACATAAGGAGAGAAAGAGAAACTGGAAACTTGACACCTAAACAACACAGAACACAGCCAACCAGCCTTGGATTTTCGGTACATTCTTATTTCTTGTTGGAAGAATTAGAGCTCTCGCCTCGTCTCCTCGCTGACACCTTGCGTTTGTTGTTCCTCTTGTTCTTCTCCTCAACCTCCTGCAAAATCAATTAATTAAATCATAAATAAGAAAAATCAATTCTTTACTACAAAATTAGATTGAATCATCATTGGAAACAGAAAAAAATATAAAATAAGAATTAAGGTGTGTTTAGTTTAGCTGATTGTATCAATTTATAACTTTTTGGTTTTTTACCAGTTGATTAAGGTTTTGGAAACATCAACTTTTATATGCTATTAACTGTTCCTAATTAACAATCAAAACAAATATTGCCTTAATTCTAATATTTATTAATTAATTTTCTTACAGGATCATCTGCATAGATTGAGAGCTTGCTGGCCTTGGCATAAGTCACGTATCGCATCAGATCTTCATAGGTGTAGAAGTGTTGGCCGGTCACCGGGCAAAAGTAGTACTGCAGTTGAAACAAATATTGTTAACGTTTTAATATATATATATATATATGTGAATTAACAAGAAATTAAGCCTTAATGTTGAAACAAGCAATTGATTGAGCTTGGTTTTAATGATTTAGATCAATAATATCAATGTTTATAACAGTTAGATATTAAATTCATCAAACTAATATAATGAATCAACACGTGATAAAGTGTGACGTTTAATTAATATCGAATTATAAAGAATATCATCTTTATTGTCGTATGCAGTTTATGACATTTGATGACACAATTAACCAATACTTTCTTCCTGTTTTAATATAACGAACAACGAATAACGAATAACAGAAACCATTAATTAATAAATACACATAAAAATTAACATAGGAGACATGTAGAGAATGTATATGGAGATCATACTTACCTTGTATTCAGTCCCCCTTTTTTCTTTACCGGTTTTTAGAACCCAACCCTCAGGAATGGTTTGATTAGAGCTGCTGTCTGCCATCTTTCTAGCTAGTAAGGGCTTGATTAAGCTGGTATGAGAGTGATATGGACTGATGGGGTGCTAATGCTATTTATACGGGAGATGACCAATTGAGGAGGATGAGTTAAGGGCTTTGAGACCATATGGTGCCAAAAACGTGGACTGAAGGAATTGGGCAAAATTAAAAGCTGATTCCTCTTTTGGTTTCAGTTTCATTTTGCTTGCCTGTCCTTCATGTGTTTCTCATTTCATTTAAGTGAAGACAACAACCAATTTGAAAATTACCGTTTCAAGAGATGTGAATAAGGCATGTTATTTAAGTAGAGGACAAATTGGCTTTAATCATTGCTTGTCTGTAATTATCCCTCATTTAGTAATATTAGCTAAATAAGGTAGCTTTGCAATAAAATTTCCTTTTTCTTCTTTTCCTTATTCATGAGTGCTAGTGAACTTGACAAATAATCACTCAATGAATAAGGAAAAGGGAAAACTCAATGTTAGCCTCTAAACTTTCCCCATTTCTCATATCAGCCCTTGTAGAAAAATAAAACAAGTGTATAAGCCCCTAAATTGTAACGGGCATTGATATCTCTCTAACAGAATTTGATTTTTGCGTGGCAAAAAAATAGTTACTTTCTACTTGTCAAATAGAATCAATCCTAAAATTTTGATATTTTAGGAAAACATTTTAAGTCTTGGTTAATATAGGATTAATAATACAAAAACTAGAGCATAAACCTTCAACCCCAAAGAGAGTATATACCTTTAATGGTGCTACACACTTGCATAGAATATGAGGACCTCAGCAAGGATATTGATGGAGCTAATTTTCATGATCTTTTGGGGGTATGGTAAGGATAATAAATCATCACACTCATATATCATTAGTTACGTGGGGTGATCATCAAACCAAAAAAGTTTGAAGAGTTGGAGGGTATGGTGTTATTGAATGGGAGAAAGAGTAGGTCCAAGTTTGCTTTGGTCCACAGACAAGTGAGTAATGCCATTGGCAGTGATAACATATATCCCTGTACAACATTTTCCTACTATTGAAGTTTCAAAGACAAAAGTGAGAGAAGCAAGGCAAAACTATATATAAAACCCTTAAACCTATCCCAGATTCTTGATTAAATCTCTAAATTTTTATTGAAGCAAATAAGGTTTTGAACTTAGTGATTAGTGTAATTTAGCCATTTCTCCTTATGGTGGATTTAAACGTTATGCCCATTTGTGTCTCACTTGCGTGAACAATATATTAATATGTCATTACCTATGTGGTAGGTATTGATCTTATCCACGTAAATAAGGCACAAACAACCATTTAGTTCATCATAATGCGTGAACAATATATTAATATATCATTACCTATGTGGCAGATATTGATCTTATCCACATAAATAAAGCACAAACAACCATTTAGGTCACCATAATAAAAAATGTTAAATTGTCTAATTGCTAAATTCAAAAGCTTATTTGTTTTAATAAAAATTTAGAATTTAATTTAGAATCTGAAAAAAAAGTTTAGGGACTTAATATAAGATTTTACCAAGAAACAATGCTTCCAACTTTCAAAGATCTACTATATATAATAAAATTATTTCCAAATACAAATTTCACTTGGGAAGAATATCCACATAACAATCTAAATTTTGAATCCTTTAATTTGTTTGTTTCTTCTATAGTGAAAAGACAATGGATGTACTTACAAATTGGGAAGAAGAACAAAAACTTTATGAGTTTAATTGAACTATTTAACTAATGTAAATACAACATCAAACTATATAAATTAAGGGTGAAAAATCTAAACTACATTATTTTTACTTAAAACACTAAGAAGGATTCCTTTAACCTATTTGCGAGCTCCCCAAAATTAAGACGTATCTTTAAAAATAAGAACCAAAATGAAAGATATGTAAAATCTATCAACAAGAATCTTATATTATACAAAAATCTTTAAAATATCAAAATCTAGAGACTATTTGTATTTAAAATTTGATAAATTTAAGGACTAAATTATAATTAACCTTCTTTTTATGCATAAATTATACTCCATTAGAGTGACATACAAAGCAGAGAGCTACTGGATGCCACTGCCTTGCGGTGCAGCTGACACATTGGGCATACCATAGCGTATATGTGTAAAGAGAAAGAAACGATGATGTCCTTATTTGTTAATTGTTATTAATATAAGAAGACGATCTCAATTGCATAATGAGGAAAAGTTGCCCAGAAAATTCAAAAAGGAGAGCTACTGGAACTGGATGCCGCTGCTTGCATTGTAAACGAGACTTAAATGGATGTTTGATAAAGTTTAAAAGGTACTTCACTTTACAAATAGTATTTATTTCTCCCAAAATTAAAATTTTGTTAAAGAAAAATATAAAAAATTATTTTTTAAAGTAAGTTTTAAGTAAACTTTTTAAAAATTTAGATGTATAATTTTTTTAAATTTTATTTAAAACTCACTTAAAAACTATTTTTTTAGTTTTCTCTAAAAAAATTTTTAAATTTATTAAAGATGAATAATACTTTTAAAGTGAGTATTTTTTAAGTTTTATTAAACCTTTTTTAAAATCCCATAAAAGTTGTGATGCCTCGAATTTCGTATCAAGGAGAAAATGTGATTTATGTGCTAAAAAGTTTTAAGTTAAAGCTTTTAGGGATCATGTGAATCTCAGCTTGATCAAAGTGGCTTCATAAAAAATGTAGGAAAACTTGTGAAATTGTTGATGCGTTTTTAGCATGACCCTTGAGAAGTGCTGCATTTTTATTTTTTATTTTTGGCAAATTGAGATTAGCAGTTTGTTTCATTCACTCCTAAATATGTTTTAAAAGTTACAACCTGCATAGACTATACCCAGCAACAAGCTTCGGAAGGTATGCGAAGAGTCAAACTGTGGTTTAACAGCAACAAGCTTACAAGTTTTTTCAAAAAGAATAACTGGTATTATACATTCGACATCAGGAATCTGCTAACATTGTGCCCATGGTGGCTTCTCTGCTAATGGTAAGCAAGTATACCACTGTTCCGTTTGGTTCTGCATCCAGACTGCTAGTTTTTCTCAACTTTTAGGCACAAGTGTTACAAAATGTGAACAAAATTTGTCTCGTCAGCGTATCCATTATAGTTATGGACAAAGCATTGGGATTCTTTCATTTAGAATATTGTTCATTTTTTTTATAGCTTGCGACTACCATATTTATTTATTTTCTAACTCAAGATTAATGTTTTAAACTGCATGGCAGATTGTAAAAATAAAAAAGTGAAGTTCATTCCACAAACAACATTCTCCTGTAAAAAAAAAAAATATATATTTAATAAAATATATCGTACAATTCAAGTCAATACAGACTGTATAATTATGAGTTTATAACCATTGATGGAAGAGAGCCTTGAATATGGCACCTTCCTCCCGCAAAATCAATGGCCAATTTGTTGCATTCCCTTGTTTAATACCTCGACCCATCTTATTATTTCCATATATGTACGAAGCTTCAGGAAGTTGTACTTGGTAATAGGCTAGATTTAGGTGGAATTCTCAGAGAGCTGCTTGGATCAGAATAAAGGTAAAGGTATGTCACTTACATAGAGACACGCGTCCGGTTCAAAGCATATCAAAACTGGGAGGCTCCTCCAGGAATAGATGATGAGACGCATCTTGCCTCAACAGCCAATGTCTTAACAATGCCTCGGCACGGGTCACCTCCAAATACTGAATTTGAAATACCAATAAAACAACTATTTCTTCCTTGACAAGCCTACAAAAAAAGAGGAGATAAAAATGCAAACCTTACATTTTACAGATTAAACCCTTTCATTCAAGTAACAATAGTTCAGGCTACTGCTTTAAGCTCAGCATGGTTCAAGGTCATTTTTACCAAAAAGCCACCATGTGTTTAGTATGTTTTGTATCAATTTACCCTCATTCTTATATCTCGAGAAAAAGATAATAAAAAAAAGAAGAAGCACAAATTTGGATATTTACCTTGGATACCACAGACAGTGATTTGGGAGAGTGGCAATACCCTCTATAAAACTTCTGGCAGCTGCCTTGAGGAGTTCCATAACTAGCAAATTCAATAGAGGAGATTATATGTCCATCTGCACACTGCAAGTGAATTTCAGGTGTTGTATCATTTATTGAGATTGTTCCATCAAAGAGATTTTGATAGGACCATCTTTGAAGAGGTGGATTATGGGACTCAGACACCGAAGCACAGATAACCCGGGACACTCGTAACTTTATTGAAATATCAAATGGATTACCACCTGTCTCCTCAAATAGCACGAGTAAATTATTTGATGGCTGCAACCATGACCTTGGTACGTGGTACCTAGAGTTTCATCGATAATATAGAATATTATTATCATCTTCATGTGTATATGCAGGAGAAACAGAGAGTAAACTAAAATTTTACAAATCTGATAAAACAGCAATACTAACTATTTTATCATTCATTCATACATATTTATGGCAAGAGACATACAAGGTTTGGGTAGGCTTCCCGCAGTTTGTTGTACACTTTTCTGAATTGTAGCGTCCACGATAATCACACTTTATGCACCCATCCTTTGGGGCAACACGATTCCAGTATCTCCCAATATGGTGGCCATTGACCCAAGCCTGGCCCTTTCCCATGCTTCCCAAATCGAGAGCAACTGGGTCTGCTCCATCAGGAGCGTCAAACAATGTCTATTTGAATTGGGAAAAGAAGGGATATTTGTAAAAACGATTTCTACAAAGTAGTGCATTGGAAGAGAATTTCTTTAAAATTAAAAAAGAAAAGAGGCGGACTAGCAGGCTACAATTGTTCCATTAATCTAGATGCACATACAAGTTTACTTCATTATGAGAGAATACCATGCAATTAATCTTAAAAAAGGAAACAAGAGATGTAAGAATTTAACAGAATTTAACAGTCATAGATGATGCTTTGAAAAAATTGCAGTTGTTTGAAAGATAAGTTTACCTTGTACCAAGTAAATGAAGGAGGAGTGGCATCAAGAGTCAGATCAACCCATCCTGCCTTGTCATTTTCTTCAATGGTATATATTTTCAGGCACTCACCCTTAAGCCCAACCTAAAAGGAAATGAAGTAACTCAGTATCTTCCACACCATTTTTATATATTCGGAAATGAAAAAGTATTTATTCAAGAGCATCAGATTAGAGACTAAACTACAGTAGAGTTCTTTAAGTTAAGTAATGTAATTCCAGAAGCCTATCAATTAATGTTTCAAATTTGTAGAGCAAATATCTCCAAGTAGCAGTGACTGGCCTTGCACCAAATTCAAAGAGAATGCTTGTAAAAATATCAGCATAAAACAAGTAGCTGTGATGCGGGACAGGTTAGAGGGTATGGTGGGCTTGGGGATTTAGAGGCTGTTTAGTCAAATATATACTGTGAATAGTACGGTAAACAGTAAAATAGGATCTGTTTAGGATAGAAAAGAGGAAAAAATAGAAAATAAACAATAAGAAGAATAGAAAAGATTAAGAGTCACACCTAGATTTCTTTAGATATCACACCTAAAGAGGATAAAACCCTTAATCATCACACCTAAAGCTAGTTGCATCACACAACCAAGATTGCATCACACAATCAAGAGCAAAACTTGCTGAAAAATTCTGAATATTATTAATTGTATAATGAAAGAAACTACATGCATATTTATATAGAAACAACTAAATCTTGGTTATGTGATGCAACTAGCCTTAGGCGTGATGTTTAAGGGTTTTATCCTCTTTAAGTGTGATGCCCAAAAAAACCTAGCTGTGACTCCTAAACTTTTTCTATACTTCTAGTTGTTTGTTTTTTATTTCTTCCTCTTTTCTATCCTAAATGGACCCTATTTTACTATTCATGCATACTATTCACAGTATATATTTGCCTAGACAGCGTCAAAATCCCCAAGCCCACCATATCGCTAACCTGTCCCACATCATCACCTCTCGCAAAAGCCTTGGTACGTCTTCTCCTTCTTTCCCTTCATTTTCTTTTCATTTCTTGTCCATTCGTTGAGGAACAAGGAACCTTTTTATCTCAATCCATTAACAGACTGATAACAAGAGATCAGATCATTCAGGCATTAATTGATTCACTCCTTATCTAATTCAGCTCAGACCCAACTTCATGCATTTTTCTTTTTCTTTTCTCTTTTTTTTTTTTTTTTTGATAAAACAAGGTTTTATTTTAATTTCCAAAGAAACAATTATGTGCTTCGATCTTATTAACTGAAACCTAATGGTTTAATGCTAACTACTCTTTAAAAAGGCATACTTTGATTCCAAGAAAAATAATCAGAAGCTAAATAGAAATGTGCATCTTACAACTAGAATTGACTCCAATAATTTATAACTCTTTACTGGGTTTTCTCCCTGATAAATTGAAGTTTCTGCATCATTCTCGGCATTATTGCTTAGAAGCATATCCAAGAGAGATTGACTGGCATTGAAAGGCATCAAGTTTTACTTGTAGCCTTTTACCCAAACGGGTAAATCGTAGAAAAGAACCCCAAAACCAAATGAGAGAGTTATTGTAGATAGGGCATAAGCATATGCTCTCCAAGGCCGTTGACTTCCTCTCATTGCATTGAATTCGACAATAAAAGCAGAAACAGTACTCAAACAACCCGTGAATCCCAACTGAATACCATCTATAACTGTATCGCAAGTCCTGGTATTTACCGCTTTTCTCAAGGTAGCCAACCCTGCCGTGACACAAGCTGCAGAAACATTAGCGGCTAGTGTCCCAAATGGAACCCACCTTAAGATTCCTGCCTTTCCTAATCCACGGCCATTAAGTCGAGCTAAGAACCACCTGATCCACACACCCGGTGGTCCAACCAAGCAAGCCAGCCACAACTGAGGTCCTGCGCTAGTACTGTTAAACTCCTCCTTTAGCAATGCTCCACTGAGACTCCATAAAGCACCGAGAAACAGCAGCAACACTACCATTACTGCCCAATGTCGACTGTACCTGTTCACCCTCCACTTCATCTTAGTGCTAGACATTTCTCTTTCTTTAGTTCTGTTTATCCTTTTGAGTAACCAGCGGAAACCCTTAGCCGTCTCAATCCCAAAAATGATGAAATGATCTGCAAGAAACAGGCCAAATAGAAAGCCGAATAGAGAAAATAGCCAGTGTCCATGTACACTGAGATCAAGCATATCCTGATTCCAACCACTGAAAGTCGTAAGGCTTCCCAAATATCCAGTTGTCAATACAATTGCCAAATGATTAGATACTCTAGATATCTCTTCTTTGAAAACAACCCCCCACCAACCCATCAGGAAGGAACCAACCACATTAGAAGGAAGGTCCAGGTATAGAATGCTTTGATGGCTGGTTAGACCAGCAGTACTAGGCCCAAACAGTCTCTGCAACAAATATCTGGATAAAACCCCAAGAATTCCAAAAACAGATAAATGCAGAAGACAATATATATACTCCAAAAACAAAGGCAAAGCTTCATCTTCATCTTGATCTTTGTCCTTAGAGCAATTCAGTGCAGTTGTCGAAAAAGGAGATATGATTTCCTCTGGCATTGGTGACACAGGAGAGATTGCATTTTGTGTTGCAGGATCACTGCACCAAAATCCATATGATTGCAACATGTTATCTTCTGGAATTGGAAACCCTGCACCACTCTCCAAAGCATTATCAATGGAAAAGCTTATTCTGCTACTCTGACCATGCCTACTGCTATGAAGAGCCAAATCACCAGCATCTCCTGCCAGAGAAACTACCTCACTTTCAATCTCATTGTTTAATTGAAAGGAATGAGCTCGCGATATACTCAAAGAGTGCCTTCTAAATGAAGAGCCTGCACTGCTTGTCATAGCAAATGACCCAATTCTTTTAGGTTCAATGTCATTACTCGAAGGATCCATGGCCACTGAGTTCATTTCTCTCGGAAAAACTTCAAAAGTAGTAAAATGATCAAAGTCTACTCATGCACCAAAAGAGAGAGCTGCTTATGAGGTAATGCTATCAATGGCAGTGCTGGTTAATGATTCTCAACTGCTCTTTGAAGCTGTAGGTGGATGAACTCAATGCGTCTAATATCAACTGATGCGGGACAGGTTAGAGGGTATGGTAGGCTTGGGGATTTAGAGGCTGTTTAGGCGAATAAATACTGTGAATAGTATGCGTGAACAGTAAAATAGGGTCTGTTTAGGATAGAAAAGAGGAATAAATAGAAAATAAACAGCGAGAAGGATAGAAAAGACTAGAGTCACACCCAGGTTTCTTATTTAGACATCACACCTAAGGCTAGTTGCATCACACAACCAAGATTACATCACACAATCAAGAGCAAAACTTGCTGGAAAATTCTGAATATCATTAACTGTATAATGAAAGAAACTACATGCATATTTATCTAGAAATTAAACTACTAAGACTCCTACTAGAACTCCTATTCTAATTAGTATATAACTTGAAATTTAAATTTTCTAATTTAACTAGGACTTAAGACTCTTGATAAAAGACCTAATCCTAATAGAAGTAGGAAAACTAATGATAACTACACTTGAATAAAAATAATTACGTAAGAATTCTAAATAATCTAAATAACTATTGAATAGCTTCTTCTTGTTCCTCATCAAGCTGTCAAGAACTAAAAAATATTCCAGATATTATAAAACCCAATAGACTGCCGTTGTATTAATTGAAGGCAAAAGGGAATGAATACAAGACTCCAAAGACAAGTTTCTCTTTTCATGAAGCAGAATTTGTTGTATTTGTTGTATGGCAGAGGATCAAGCAATATTATCTCCCGGATACAGTAAGTGAAGAATCAAACTATTCATTCTTTTTTAATCATGATTTTAGAAATTTAGGGTTTTATGTTATAGTATAAGTAGTATGCATTTTTAAGTTTATGAGCAGAATTGTAATTTCTGCAAAGCATACACACTAGGTTTATTTACTTGATTTGGTGAAGTTTTTACTGTTTAAGCAGTCTCTAGAAGTTGAGGTTTTATTAGAGCTTCCTAATTGGTTATTTACCCTCAGGTCCACTGAAAATGACTTCATGGAAATTATTCAAAGATAACTCATTAATGCATACATGAGAAGTAAAACATAAATCAAATACGCACCTGGTAGGTCCATGATAATTTTGACAAGTCTATATCACCATTTTTGAATCCAGTAATCTTAGCTTGGCCTCTAAATCCTGCTCCATCTTTCTCTAAGAATGCACCATAGTTCTGTATCATCAATTTAATCATATAGAAGAATGGAGGAATCAGTTATTACCAATTCCATACGAGATATATTTTATAGAAATTTTGGTTAAGTATTCACCTCTTACAGATATGAACAGCATTGCAACCAACAAGAAACAAGATATTCCACAATTCACAAGAAACAACATATTCCACAACTCACAAAAGTCAGGGAAAATACAAAGCAAAGCAACAGGATAAGGTTTGTAATCTGTGAAACAAAAAGTAGACCTATCAACAGATATCATCTATTTGAGACAGCTGCAATTTTAATCAAATTTATGTTTCATTCCTGAGTTCAACTCCAGAAACTTTTATAATTTTGATTGTATATATTCTGCGATGACTATATGAGAAACTTAAAAATGTAAAAGACATGTAAATCAAACAATATATAGAACGTTACATCTAGTTCATGACACTTGAAAAACACATTGCAAAGATCTCAAATGATTGCATGCTTAAACCAATTGGAAACAATCAAGAATTTCAAGAGAAAGGATTTAGATCTTTCAGTCCTATAAAAGGATGAGATCTTTCCAGCCCTTCAGTCCAATTTCCACATAGGATCACTCACCCCCATGCAGGTGGTACTTTTGAGACCATTTTTAGCCTAAAACTCTAAAATGTCTGTCATAAGCTTATTGAAACACTGGAAATAACAACTTGTACCTGCAAACCTACTGTTTGAGATAACAAAACTAAATCATTGTATCCCTGATGAAAATGAACAGGTTGCACCACCTTTACATAGTCACCCCAATCACCAATCACACTGCCTTCATTTCCAAATGAGTAGAAAGAAACATGAAAGAGAAAACCAAGGGTAAAGATTGTTAACTGGGAAAATCCCATAGTGATAAATTAAGGGGAAACCTAAAGACTTGTATATGATGCGGGTGTCTCCACCTTAAACCCAATTGGTTTTAGGTGGACGCCCTTTATTAAAGATGTCCAAAACCAGAAGAATAATAAGCATAAATAAAAATATGCAGATATAATTTCCATTTCCCTTTTTTATTTGTACACTAAGAGTCTGTTTAGTATCACTTCTATTTCCCTTTTTGTTACAATTTAAAAAATGAACACAAGGGAGAAAAATGCATTTGTTTCAGCCTTTATGGTTTCCAAAAAATTGAAAATAGGCAACCTGTGGCCAAACTTTTGAAAACCAAAAGATTGTTTTTCCACTTATTGTGGCAACTGGTGATCAGTTTCCACAACTACAATACAAGCATACCTGTATTTTACCAGTACACGTGCAGACCTAGTATGTTAATGCATGCTAGACTATAGCAAGAGCATCAGTCCATACATGGACACTTGTACCTCTGCCCAACTAACAAAAAAAAGCTGTTACCGCATCCTTCCTAGGTTTTACTTATCATAGCCTTAATCCAACTTATTTCCACACCCTCCATTGTTTTCATGCAATAATTACTTATGGTGATTCCAATAAACCAGACATTATTTATGAGCTCAAGAACCTATGTAGAGAGAGGAAGATCAATAAAGCTGGAAATTAATATGAGAGGGAAAATAGACAAAAGAATATTTTATAAATATGTCCTTTATTAAGTATTTAAAATGCCACTAAACATCACCAGACTACAACCCTGTAAAAGAGCCCTCCACATTATTTATGAATTCTGGTTTAACATAATCTTGACCAGTGTGCACAAGAATAGCACTTCCATTAAAACCAAGAAACTTCTTTACCAAAACAATATTCTGTCAACATGCTGACGTGATATACCAATTTTCTGACTAACTTATCCTTTGGCAGTGCATCTTATCATTCTTCACTTTTCAGAGCAACATCAATCAAGTCTCTTAATAATTAGAGTTTAGTGAAGCTACGATGTTTATGTAAAATATCAAAATTGTATATTCCCCAAAGCAAATTTCATTACTTTTGAAAAGAGGTTAGGGAAACAAAGACAGAGTAGGGAACATTAAAGGAAGAGAAAGAAGAAAGCAAAACTTGCATAGCATGCGTTGACATAAAATAACCTAATATAAAAAGGAAATCAGAAATTTACCTGCAAGCTTGCCATTGATAAATACCCGCAATATATCACGCATGCTATCAATCACAATTGTTGGACTAACTTTTTTTTCCTCCCAGAATGTGATGTCTTCATCGGAAACATATATCCTACATTCCACAATACATACGCATTCTAGAGGCATTAGTTACATAAACAGCAAACTAGAAAAATTACCTTCAATTTCTCAAATGAAGAATTTAGGTCAATGGAATCAAGAACAAGAGTACAATGCCAAAACTGAAACCCAACTGTTTATGTTACTATAAACAAAATATTGAAGAAATAATAGTCAAAGAAAGGTTCCATAACACCCGTATAAACTGACAGTACATTCTTGTAAGATCTGTTCTTTTTGAGGGTTCCAAAACAAAATGTCATAACCTTATAGCTATCATAACCATAACCCCCATTCTCTTTCATTTTCCAGGAATCCTTAGCTATCATAACAAAATCAACAATTATTACTAATATACCTGGTTATATACCACAAATAATCTGAATTGTCCTTTGTGACGTTCAAATGCTCTAAAATCCCTTGGACAGTAAAACTGTTGTTGCTCCAGATATCAATTGGTTCATCTACAGTCATCCAGGACTTTGACACAGGTGAAACTTCCCTTGAAGTCATCATGTCTTGGGGCATAGATATCATTTGAGAGAAAGGAAACTCTAGTACTTTTATGGAAGTCTGAGCTCCAACCTATGCAAAGTTCCAAACATATGGACAAATAAAGGGGCCTGATACATCCCTTAGGAAACAGTTGCTTGATTTTCATCTATAAAGCAGAGAGGATGTGTAACATTTAGACATGATAAAGTCATAAAAATATATCTAGTCTAGTCTTTCAATTGGTTTACTTCATCTTCATTGCAATATAAATAAAGGATCACAGTCCATAAAAATTTCAGTCTGCAAATAATGTCATTAAATAAGTACAGTGTAAATTATCATGATTCAATGATAGCACAATGGTTACTCAATTGTTTTGGATTAACAAGAATTCCCACTTTTTAATAATTAATATTATCTCAACCAAAATACAGACTCAGAAACCAACAGAAGAATAGGAAGAAGAAAGTGTCCACTTAGCAAAATATGAGAAACTGAAAAGCAGAAACTGTGAACAAAAACTTTGATTAGATGCCAAAGCAGAACATTTCAAGAAAAAACCCAAGATATCTAATGTTTCAATTTTATTCTCCGAGATGAAATACTTCAGCACGGAAGGTTTCCAGGAATCAGGAGATGACAACTCTCAGAGACCTTTATAGGACACATCATAATCCATAATATATCTTCTCTACAGATGCATTGTATAGATGGAGGCAAAATTTGGAATCAATGTATTATGAAAGAAAATAGTTTATTGGAATAAGTTAATCCTAGCCTCATAACAGAATTCAGCACCCAGATTTTACAAGAAAGATATGGAAGATGGAAAAACAACAGTCAAGTGAAGTATGAATTCAATGTGCAGAAGTACCTACAGCAATCTTAAGTGACTTAAGAGCCAAAAATGTTTTTCTAGGGGAAGACAACTAAAAGTTGAAACCAAACCTTAGCTGTGTTGAATGCTGTGTCCCTGCAGTCCGGTAATATACTGACTGACCATGGTGGCAAGGTATATGATTGGCCAAGGAATTTTACAGAAGCTTCCTTATGCTCATCAATATTTGCAAGAAACGCAGAGCAGAGGGTTTGACCTTTATAAGTAGTTATATTCAAGCCATCTGTCTTTGCATCAGCTAGGTATACATGTGCCTGAAAGTGGTTAATTGGACAACAATAAGACACAAAACAAGATAAAAATAATATATTTACTATAGAAAAAAAACAATTTGAGTTGAAAGGTATTCTTGACGATAGATTTATCTCCAAAAGAGATTGAGCATGTAACCTCCTCAATTCTAAACAATAATTTTGGAAATATAAATATTTCTGTAATGATTCAATAATACCTCAAGCATTGAAGGCCAAAATGTAATTTAAGCATTGGTAAGTAAAGACCAGAAGCTCCAGCTAAGCCAAATGGGCTCTTAGCAGGGTTGTACTTTAAAGTAAAGGATGTTAGTCATGTTAAAATAATAAAATATCTAATTACACATTCATATATATTATTAAAAAATAAAATGTATGTATCTTTGTAACCCTATAATGTCACATTTATTTCCAATATCTATTTCCATGAACTTCTGGTGCAAAAAGGGTAGATTTGCTTGGCTTAAAGGTTTGATGGTCATTTCTTATGGCCTTTTCCTTCTTTTCCTTATGTATGACAATAAGATAGGCATGCAGTGGTTCAATTATCGGTAGAAAAATGACTACCACTGTTTCTTCAGATTTATCCTTTATGATTTAGTTTTCAATTTTATGATAATGAGGAATTTACAATTAATAAATGATAAATCCATTTCCTACTCCTTGAACCTATAATTGAAAATGTAATAACTTAACAAAACAGCCATACATAAATAAAGACATGGGGCATACCTCCTGCATTGATCCCAGTTTTATATATTTTGGGTAATCAGCAGCAACAAGAGCAGGTTCACAGAGCTTTATAGCAGCATGCAAATCCTTCAAGTGTCCCCATTTAGGCTCATTCAGGAGACCTGAATGAAATAAAGAGACAATTGTCAATTTGGACATCACTGTTTCCTTTCATGTTTTAACCCTAAAGAGAAAAATCCTAAGGTAGTAACTTATTCTTCAAACAATGACTACTGACTAAATAACTTTTGTTTCTTATTCAATTCTACCTACCATATTCATCAATTGGAGCATCATAATCATAACTAGTGATATAGAATGGACCTCCAGAAGTCCTACCGAAGTTTGTTCCTCCAAAGTACTGCAACCATGAAACAAGCCTGTCAAAGATGTATCATTGTCTACATATTAAATGCAAACCTAATATAAAGCCAAACTTGAGGAATCTAGTAATAAATTCCAAATTTCCAATATAAGTACCATTTGAGAAAAAAAAAAAGAAAAGAAAAGAAAAGAAAAAAAGACAACATCAGAATCAAACTCTAAGCTTCTAATCCTGCATCAACCTTACAAAAATGCCTTCACATCAACACTATAATGGCTGTAGTCACCATGTGTCTACCAATAGCCTTTTCAAAACTTACAGTAAAACTTACAGAATATAACGTCCAGCTGCAACTTGAAAAAGCCTAAAAGAGATATTCTGTTTTCGGAAACTTGCAGAATATAAGGTTCAGTTGAAACTAGATAAACTAAAAAGAGAGATTCTGTTTTTGGCTTCAATATCAAGCATTCCATTTGGAAGAAAGAAAGCCAAAACAAAAGTCATAAAACATGAGACTAATACCATCAAGAAGAACTTCAAACAAGGCCTCATGTTTCAATTTCTCACACACATTTTGACAAATACCACTAAAAGACTGGGGCAGGAAAAGTTAAATATGCAAAATTCAAGTGTTTATTATTTCTCCTTATGAATTTTTTAGTGCAATTAACAATTAGAAGATGCATTAGCCCATGTATCTCTTCCACAATCATAATCAGAACCCAAATGCAGATGGCAAAAGTACCATATAGTAGTCCAGATAGAATTCGTACCATATAATAGTTCTGAAAGCTCCCTCCACGTTGGAAAAAGCGTGCAATTGCAAATGCAAGGTCCTCAACAGGTCTGTGAGGCAGCCTTCCTCCCCACATTGCAAACCTGTTAAAAATAAAGTTAACTAAGAATCTATTGCTCATAAACTTACAACAAAAGAAATTTAGCTAGTTAGGGAAAATATATAAATAAAAAAACAATAAGAAACAGAAGCACTCAGAACAAGCAGAGCTATTTGAAAGCACTAAAATGAATACTTTTAACATACCTTTAAGAAAGGAAAGTATCACTAACAGTTAGAACAAACTCTCAGAGAGAGAGGTGAGATTACCATCTAGCAATGTGCAAGCAAGAAATCTATCATACCATCATGTAAAATCTACCACTAGTATAGGAAAGTCTTCCATATAGCTGAAGAGTCTCCTGTAACCTTTTAGAAGCCTCTCTTAAAATTTTATTGACATATTTTTGTATAAATGCTTCATATGCATAAAATTTTTAATGCAGTTCACCTTTCTCCAAAAAATAAAATAATAAGATACTACAACGCTAAAATAAAGTGTTCAATCTTCATACCATCCATCCCAATCCTCTGTCCAAAGTGTTGGTTTGTTCTTGGAATTTGCTTTGTAACCATCACAATAGAATCCATTGCAGGCATCTATCTGCAATAAGGAACAAACAGAACTATAAAGCAGCTGAGAGTAGCTATTCAAATCTCAGCCTTAAAGCATAAAATATCCTGAAAAACTAGTAAAAGAAGGCAAATAACTCAGAGGAAAATGTTTTTATGCATTTTCTTACATTTGGCACAACATGAAAAATGAGTCAACCAAAAATATTTTCTTGGTCAAGGGAAATTCAAGCTTAAATTCCAGAGTTACTTACATCTTTTCAAGAGCACTAGTTATTTTCCAAAACAGATTTTAAACCCCATTACCTCATTCCTTGATAGTTATGATTCATTAAAGGACACCTAGTGCATCTACCAAATGAGACAACCAATGACTATTGCTGGAGTGTAATCATCAATAAAATTCTGCAGCAAGAATCATTGCCAGTAATGGCCGCAAATTTATCCATCATCAACTTTCATTAACAACCATCATTAATCATTCACTTGCTGAGTCCAAACACGAATCATTCATTTATCTCAAATATAAAAAAGTTTTCATTGCGAACAAAACAATGAAAAATAACAAAACTGGAAACCATTTCAGCTGAAAATGCTTCCCTTGGGAAAATCTTTTCCAAAATAGGAAAACTTTTCTGGACAGATGGTACCTGAATTTAAAGAATAAGGCAATTCATTTCTTCACAGGCTTTATTGTAATTAACTATATGTAAACATTGTGCAGATATTCAATAAAAAGGTATAGCAGGGAAGGAACATACTATGTCATATGGAGCATCAGTTTGCCTGCACATCACCCATGGAACACCAGCACAAAGCCCAAGCGCCATTTTTGCTGCCCATTTAACATATTCCTTTCCTCTTTGGCCAAATTCTCCTTCAATGTCACCATATTCATTCTCAATCTGATAAATTTCAATTATTTTAATGGATGCTTTTCTAGAAACAGTATATTTTCATTCCAAATTTCCAATTTTTGGATGCATAATGGAATTGGGAGAAAACTGAAAATTTGGGATAGGCAATAGTTCAGTGGACTGTTGAGATTTGTAATGAATTCTACAGAAATAATTACTAGTTGCAAGGCACCAAGGCCATGTTACTTGGAACAGAAGATCATAAAACCTATGCTGCTACTGTGTAACTGTAGCAAATATGAGAAGGTGAAAAACACTCATTGAAAGAGATGAGATCCCAACAGTTTGAGCATTTCTCATTCTTTTTGGTGCAACCCCTCCTCCCAAATTTGTTATCCTCAAAAAAAAAAAAAAGAACTAATCTGTATTATAACCTGCAGCATAATTATTGGGCCACCCTGCCAGGAGAATAGCCTTTCCTCTCGCATCAGATCAACAATCTTTGTAACAAAGCGCTGCATCTCCTCCTAGAGGAAGGAAAAAAAATAGAATAAAAAAGGCTAGTGTTGTCATTTATGCACACATTTTATTTCAGTCCAATAGGAACATCATAATCCAAAATTTTCATCCCTTCAGAAATATTTAAGTGGAGAATGCAATTTAGAACTAGAAATAAAAAGTTTTGGCATTCAATAAACATTATAGAAAATAAAAAATATTTTCAAGTATAAATGCTAATAGAACCAATGTACCTTAAAAGGTGTATTGTCTGTTCGAAATTCTATGCCAGGGATATCACGAAGCCACACAGGAAAGCCCCTACAAGATATTAGCCAAGATAGGAGTAGTTAGAAATGTATCTTAAGTAATTCATGGTTCAAACTCTTGAGAAGAATACATTATACTATTATTTATGCTGCAGAAAATGGTTCATGAAATATTCTTCCAAGTATTGAGTTACATTTTCCTTTGAATATTTTAATAACTGGGTAGAAAACAAAATAAAATGGGAAAAGATAGTCAGACCCAAAATTCCACTCGGCACAGACGTAAGGACCTAAACGGAGATGGAGATAGAGGCCATTGGATCCAACTACCTTCACAAACTTGACAATATCATATCTTCCTTCAAAGTTATACTGAGAAAGCAGTTAAGAGGAACACAAGTAAGTCCAATTTCTAACAACAGTGTAGAGCAACAGCTGCCATAGATTAGTTGCAGAAAAATTTAAGCAAACCTGTCCTCTAACTGGTTCATGGCCATTCCAAAATACATAAGTTTGAATCACATCTGCTCCACCTTCCTTGCTCTTTGCTATCAGGTCAGGCCACATCTGGCATGAAGAGAATTTAGTTAATTTTTTCGTTAATTGTTTATACTCTTAAGAGGTCAACTTTGTTACTGCATCTAACACTTCTGCTTTTGGTGAATCGGTTTATTGTTTGTTCATATGATGATTTTCATAAATTTTTCTAAAGCAACCAAACAGATCCTCGAGAGAAACAGCTTCACTACCAATCCAACTAAAAACTGTAAACAAATGGTTAAAGAGAGGGAAAGGGAGAGAATCGCACCTCAGGAGTAGCGCGAGGGTAGTGAATTCCGGCGGAATTGAGCATGCGACGCTTACCATCGATGATGAGAGCTCTGTGATCATAGGTTACGTTGAACGGCTTGAAGAAATTGGAACAGATGACTGAGAATTGAAGGAAGAGATGAAGAGCGAGGAGCTGAAGGAAAACTCTCCTCCGAACCATCTTCACTGAGAAAGGAAAGGAGAAATGAATTGATGACAGAAGAAAATGCAGAGAAGAAGGAAGAGTGAAGTGTGGTCTACGCATGTAGAAACCAACGATGGAAAACAAATTAGGAGAAATTCCAATATAGGGTAGTTTAAAATTTTTAAAATTTGGGATAATGACCATTTAGGGGGAGATTGGAAAGTTAATTCTATAAAAGTCCTGAATTTAAAAATTATTCTAAATTAGTACTCTACATTTTGTATTACCATTTTTGTATTTCAACTCGAGCACGTTTGTCTGGTTATGTGCAGGTACAATTATTTTGTTTTTAACTAATGGCAACCACATGAAAATTTGACTTTGAACGAGGGGTAAAGACGGTAATACAAGATACCAATTTGAAATAAGTTTCGAATTGAGGACTTTTGTGAAAATAATTTTCTAATCTCCCCTCCCTATATTTTGGCATTATCCCAACAAATTATTATAAATTTAAGAAATCGCTCCTAGTTAAAAATAAACTTCGGACAAAATCTATGGTCGGAGCTATATCTTTCACATTACAAAATGTGAACAAATATTTGTCTCGCCAGCAGATCAATGATGGTTATGGACAGAGTAGCTGTATCTTTCATTTATAAATTACTCATTTATTATAGCTTGCCACAACCATAATTGTTTATTTATTTATTTTTCAATTTCAAACAGATATTTTTTAAATACAAGATAAATTTTAAAAACATAAAAATAAAATACAATTTATTTTGTGTGGACTACAACTTTTTTAATTATTAATAAAAAGACAGATTCTTTAATATTAAAGGCACAACCATTATCAATAATTAAAAGAAGTGCACAATGCAACGACATTCTCTTGAAAAAAAAAAAAACATTTTTGATTTATTTAACACCTTTAGGCATCTTATTATTTGCTTATTTTCGAAGACAATGAGTGATAAACTAGTGTCTGCGCAACAACTTCAACCATTTATGTTGGGATCGTAGGTAAGTCGTTATTAAAATGATTCACATAATGTACACATACACATGAATTATGTACAGTCATTAAACAAGCATATTCAGGAAGTTGTACTCGCCAATAGGCTAGAATTGGGTGGAATTCTCACAGAGCTGCTTGGATCAGGGCAAAGGTAAAGGTATGTCACTTACACAGAGACACGCGTCCAGTTCAAAGCATATCAAAACTGGGAGGCTCCTTCGGTAATGGATGATGAGACGCATCTTGCTTCAACAGCCAATGTCTTAACAATGCCTCGGCACGGGTCACCTCCAAATACTGAATTTGAAACACCAATAAAACAACTACTTCTTCCTTGACAAGCCTACAAAAAAGGAGGACATAAAAATGCAAACCTTACATTTTCCAGACTGAACCTTCTTCAATCAACTAACAATAGTTCAGGCTACTGCTTTAAGCTCAGCATGGTTCAATGTCATTTTAATCAAACAGCTGCTATGTGTTTAGTACGATTTGTATCAATTTACCCTCATTCTTATATCTCAGCAAATAATAATAATAATAAAAGAGCGTGATTATTTGGATATTTACCTTGGATACCACAGACAGTGATTTGGGAGAGTGGCAGTTCCCTCTATAAAACTTCTGGCAGCTGCCTTGAGGAGTTCCATAACTAGCAAATTCAATAGAGGAGATTATATACCCATCTGTACACTGCAAGTAAATTTCTGGTGTTGTATCATTTATTGAGATTGTTTCTTCAATAAGATTTCGATGGGACCATCTTTGGAGAGGTGGATTATGGGACTCAGACACTGAAGCACAGATAACCCGGGACACTAGTAACTTTATTGAGATGTCAAATGGATTACCACCTGTCTCCTCAAATAGCACAAGTAAATTATTTGATGGCTGTAACCATGACCTTGGTACGTGGTACCTAGAGATTCACCAATAATATAGAATGTTATTATCATGTTCATGTGCATATGCAAGGGAAGTAGATAGTAAACTAAAATTTTACAAATCTGATTAAACATTAATATTAACAAATTTTCATTACTTCATGTGTATTTATGGTAAGAGACATACAAGGTTTGAGTAGGCTTCCCGCAGTTTGTTGTACACTTATCTGGATTATAGGGTCCGCGATAATCACACTTTATGCATCCATCCTTTGGGGCAACTAGATTCCAGTATCTCCCAATATGGTGGCCATTGACCCAAGCCTGGCCCTTTCCCATGCTTCCCAAATCGAGAGCAACTGGGTCTGCTCCATCAGGAGCATCAAACAATGTCTGTTTGAATTGGGAAAAGAAGGGATATTTGTAAAAACGATTTTTACATGGGAGTGCACTGGAAGAGAAACTGTTCTTTAAAATTAAAAAAGAAAATAGGTGGGCTAGCAGGCTACTATTGTTCAATTAGTCCAGAACCTGGATGCACACAAAAGTTTGTCATTCTGAGAGAATACCATGGGATTAATCTTATAAAAAGAAACAAGAGACACAAGAATTTACCAGAGTCAAAGAAGATGCTTTTAAAAAATTGCAGTTGTTTGAAAGATAAGTTTACCTTGTACCAAGTAAATGAAGAAGGAGTGGCATCAGGAGTTAGATCAACCCATCCTGCCTTGTCATTTTCTTTGATGGTATATATTTTCAGGAACTCACCCTTAAGCCCAACCTAAAATGAAATGAAGTAACTCAGTGTCTTCCACACCATTTTTCTATATTTAGGAGTAAGAAAATGCTATGAAAAAGTATTTATTTTATGAGTGTCAGATTATAGACAAAATTTAAGTAGAGTTGTTACAAGTTAAGAACTAATGTAATTCCAGGAGCTTATCAATTGATGTTCAAATTTTTAGCAAATATCCCAAGTAGCTTTGAACCAGCTTTATTTTATTTTATTTTATTTTCTAACCTTGCACCAAATTCAAAGAGAATGTTTGTTAAAATATCAGCATAAAACATGTAGCTGTCCAGAAGTGAAAAATATTCTAGATATTATAAAAACCAAGAGACCGCTAATGCATTAATTGAAGGCAAAAGGGAATGAATACAAGGCTCC